TAACCATTCCTCTATCTTTTCATTTTCTTTCTCTCTTTTTTTATTTAATTTTATTTCTTTTTTCTTTCTATACATTACCATGTGATAGTTGGGACTTGAAAGAGGGTAGAGGAGCTAGTGATGAGGTTCTACCAAACCAGCTCCCGTAAGCCTCAGATACAAATCTAATCTCGCCACCATCTTTTATCTCCCATTTGACATCTAAATATATCATATTTTATAAGTAATCAGAGGTTTCTTTTTTCTTTGAAATAATCAATTAGTTAATTCCTGTTTTATGTTTCTTTTGATAATGCCACTATTAGTGCTCGTGAAGACGTAAACTACATACTCTGCTTGATCTAATTCGATTAAATAGAATATTGATAAGCATTGAATTTTGATTCATTTCTTGTTAAATGTCCGCATGCTTAGGACTATATGTAACATGATTATGTGTTCTTAGTTCTTGTACTATTTGCTTAGTCTAGTTGTTTAGTTTTGTGATTTGGATTGAATGACCATTTGATTCGGTCTCTTGGAACGAGAATGAAAATGTTGAATCTATCCGGGTAGTTGGGCAACAATGAGCTATAGTTGGGGTTGAGTCGTAAAGGAATCAAGGTTATCCCTTTATTTTTCAGATTCAAAAATGAGGAAGATAATCAACGTGGGAAGACAAATTAATCCAACCTTTAAAAAATGAAAAAAACAAAAAACAAGAGTAAATTAACTTGGGCAAAGGGGTGAAAGAGAGAGTTTAGTTCATAATTAGGTAATAGGGGAAAAAACAAGTTTCCAAAAGGGGAAAGGGGAACAATAATAAAAAAAATGAAGTGAAAAAGATAGTAAATATAAAAATCATAAAATCAATAAAAAATTTAATAGAAATATGGTTCTATAAGAAAACAAAAAATTGATAATTGATGAAATCTAAGAGAATAAAAACATAATAAAACGGTAAATAAAATATAAAAAAAATCTCTCAAATTTTGAAATGAAAAAAATAAAACAATAAAAATAAATAAAAGGATGATAATAATAAATAATGAAAATAAAAATTGGTCAAATTTACTTTTGTATTGGTTTGATTTGCTTTCCACATTATTATGTTGCTTGATTAATTGTGTAACCTTTTATTGTACTAGTTTGGGATACCATATGGGCCCCACTAATTGGACTGAAGAAAGGGGTGCTTAACCCCTACCCTATCCCATTCGAGTCTTATCCGAATTGGTTACCCAATGCCTCGGTCTTTGGAGTCACTATTTGATAAAAATGATTTTCGGAGGTCCTATCACCTCCATTATCTTATTTCGAACATATTACCCTTGAGTGAGATGGCTAGTACAAACTTTCTCCTATGTAGGCAAGAATTGGCATGCATAGTTAGCTAAGAAGCAAACACGATAATCCTCAATCATATTGTGTGGCATTATGTGAATTTGGAGCCATACTCTTTGGCCCCATTCACTTTTTGGTAAGTTACTTGAGTAAATGCACTATGTTCTTTTATTTCCCATGTAAATAAAATAATGACCATTTTAGCCATAAAAGTTCCATTATCAAAAGGGGCATTTTTGTCTCATCCAAGTGTTGGCAACTTCCCCAGGTGGGAAATTTATTTACCCACCTCGGAGATGGATATCTCAGGAAAATAATCTTTCCTTGGTCCCTACATAAGTCTAAGAAAAGAACATGGATTTCTTGGTCAATAGGATTGTGAATCCCATTGACTTTCTTCCTCTTAAAATCCAAAAATCGATTTCCCCCTTTGTATCCAAACTTTATCTAGGACTCCTATAGATGAATTTGACCAATCCTCCAAAAGTATCCAGTTGGACCAATAGAACCACAGACCTCCTTCCAATGCGATATCTTTGTTTGGTCATTTTTCAAAAACAAATTCAATGTTCATGTTGTCAATGAATTAAAGTGAGACAAATGAGTTAAAGCTCCATAACTCCTTTACATAGGATTCAAGGACTTTTTCAATGACTTGTTGCTAAAGGGAATATTTTCCCTTTGAATATGAGGTCGATGACATGCACAACTTCCTCGACCGGCTCAAAGGACAAAATTTGTTGATCCAAGGATATAATGACTGCATGTGAAAATTGTTTTGCTAACTTTGTCTTTGCATGTATCGTGTATTCATAAGAAATCGCTTCTTTACCCTTGAGCAGTGACTTTTTGCTAAGTCCATCTTTGCGTGCAAGGTGTCTACAGAAGGAATCACTTCTTTCCATTTCAAGCATTGGCTTTTTAGAGACTTCTCCATCCATGTGCAGGAAAATAAATGTGTCAGAAATGAAGACCTAGGAATATTAGTAAAAAGAAAAAAAAAAAAACAAAAAAGGGAAGGGTGGTTGACTGTGATTGCAGGAGGCAAAGTGGTGGACCTCACATTGCTTACCTTATGGCTAGATGGTTATGGGAGCATCATGGTTAAGGTGGACTGGTGCAATGAAAGTGATTTGGAGCAGGATAAGGAACATGTACAAAAATGCTAGAGAGAGAGAGATCAATCCCTTTGTAGACATTGAGGTCGAATGAGGAATGTGGAACACAGGTTGGTTGGATTATTAATTTGTGCATTGATGATAAATTGAGCAAACAAAGTGTTGGGTGGTTAATAAATCATATGTCAAAAAAATGAGTGTGATAGAAATGCATATGATTAGATAGATGAATGGAAAAATTAGAAAGGATTGAGTTATAGCAAAGTCATTTGGAGGAACTTGGGAATAGCTCCAGTCCATGATAAAATGAGAAAAAACAAACTATAAAATGGTTTGGTCATGTGTATGTAAAAAACCTTTGGCATTACCCATAGAAAGAAGTAGAACTGTGAAGTGGGCTAGGCCATTCATTGGTTGGCAGAGCCCAACGTGACTCAACTATGTTAAGCTTCCTTTTCGAGGGATTTTGGGCCAAGTAGGCATGACCCGTCAAGGCCTGTATGCCAACACGGCATAGCCCGCCATAGTATAGATGGCCCACAAAATAAATCAATTCTAGAAAATGTTATTTATTACAAGTTGAAGGGGTCAGAAGGTAGGTGGGATTGAGATGTTCTCAGTACATGGTGAGATGTGGTTGTAAGGTTAGTGTGAGGAGCGCTCTACAAGGAGCAAATCCTTCCAATTCAGAAGGTGGTGTAATAAACAAAAAAATTAAAAAAGACAAAGATTGTTAAAGGGCATATGGAGTTATTGGTATGTGGCCATCTATATCTATATATTAAAATGCAATGTGCCAAGTTGGCACTTTTCTACTCTATGGTTTATTCTCAAAGCCACTTATCTCTTTCATGGTTTCCTTTCAACTCAAAGGCACCTATCATTTTTTCTGTTTTTTTTTTTTTTGAAATTTCCAATTTTAAAATTGGACAAAATAACTCAAGTGACCAATCACCTTTAAGAGTTTTAGCACTCCTCATTAAAACACCACAACTCTCTCTCTCTCTCTCTCTCCTCTTTCCCATTAACTCTTTTAATAATCTCCCATCATTAATTATGCCATTAACTATTTTCTTCAATAATTCATGGCACTAATTTTCTCTCATCTCTAGTAAACTTTAATTATCAGTAAAGATTAACTATATTGAAATTGAAATATTCAAGGATATATTATTGCACTAAATAATCTACCTCCATTTAAAATTACAATCCATTTGTATTCCATTTGAAAACAATAAAAATTATTTAGTAAGTTACTTAAATAAAATAAAAATAAAAAATAATTATTAATTATTGTTATTGATAAAAATATTTTTATTAATATAATAAAAAGAATTTAATTAATAAAAGGAATACGATAAATTAAAAATGAATATCAATTTAAAGTTAATATAAAACTAATACAAAATTATCTAACAATTATTAGTTTTATAATTAACATTTATTAATTTAAAACCAACTTAAGTTCCACTAAAAATAAAAATTTATATAGTTGATTAAACTTCATAAGGAATTTAAATTTAACAAAAACATAATATACTTAAATAATTCAAATTTTACTAGTTTAAAAAATAATAAAAAATATTAGTTTTAAATATAGTTTAATTAAGTTTTATTGAAAAATAAGGAAAATTATAAAAACCTCCTTGGATTTTCCAACAATCCTATGAAACTCCCTACTGTTTTGACCTTAACGAAAACCTCCCTATTATTTTGAAAAGAGTGCAAATACTGTCCTTTAGTGGGCATTCCGAATAAAAAATGTTGATGTAATACATTAATTTACTTCACTTCAGCCTTTGCACATTTGTTTAATAAAAGTAAGTATAATTATTTTTGAAAGTTGTCTAGCAAAATAAATTAGTGGAGGGTAAAATTGAAACTTTAAATAATGTATGACAATGCATTACCAATGATGAGGGTATTTTTATAACTTTAATGTCTTTATCACCAAAGAGCCATGGGAAATGAGCTATTTGCACATTTTCCTCAAAACTATAAGAGAGTCTTTTATTAGGGTCAAAATACAAAAGTGGTTTATAGAATTGTTATAAGTGATTTTTTATAATTTTACTTAATAATACAAAAAAAATAATAAACTAATAAAAATAAAATATAATATAAATTTATCTAAAAAATAAGAAATTGTTCGCAACTTAAATTTTACTAGAACAAACTAGACATAACAAAACATAATACTTGAACTTAGATGAACACCATGGAAAAAATTCATACAACTCCATTTTGGTGATAAATAAATGATGGATCCATTTTCTCTCCTCTGTTCAGAAAAAACGCCTGAAATGGTAGTTCAATCGGCTATGGCCCCGCGCCAAATTGCACCGTACAGACTTAACACCATTTTGAGATTTATCGACCTCCGACGAGTTCGATTCTCCACCAACTGATCACGTTCCAACGCTCTACCAACATAATCCGACACCGCATATCTCGGGTCTCATTTTTATGGTGGATCCCAGTTTTATGGTGAGATGTGCGATGTTAGATGAGGTTGATAAGGGGTTAGAACGTTTTTTTGTTGGTAGGAGATCCCAACTCTTATCGACTACTGCACATTGAATTTCTCTCCTGGTTCTAGACTAATCTCCAGCCCACTGTACGCATTGAATTCTCTCTTTTTGGTATCGTCTTGTTTACGGTGGATTCCAGTTTTATGGTGAGATGTGCGATGTTAGATGAGGTTGATAAGGGGTTAGAACGTTTTTTTGTAGGAGATCCCAACTCTTATCGACCACAGTACATTGAATTTCTCTCCTGGTTCTAGACTAATTTCCAGCCCACTGTACGCATTGAATTCTCTCTCTCTCTTTTTGGTATCGTCTTTCTGGTTTATGGTGGATCCCAGTTTCATGGTGAGATGTGCGATGTTAGATGAGGTTGATAAGGGGTTAGAACGTTTTTTGTTGGCAGGAGATCCCAACTCTTATCGACCACAGCACATTGAATTTCTCTCCTGGTTCTAGACTAATCTCCAGCCCACTGTACGCATTGAATTCTCTCTCTCTTTTGGTATCGTCTTTCTGGCATTTCTCCTATGCTCTGGGGCTAGGAGTAGAAGAGGCAGGAGCCATAACCTAAATGAAAAGTTGGATAACAAACCCTAACAAAACCCTCGCCAATCTTTCAGTGTTTCTCCATTTCTCTCCATTATGGAAAGCTTAAGAGCCACTTACAGAGACGAAGATGACGAAGACGATGATTGGAGCAACAACGGCCTCATCAATCAAGACCAAATGACCCCCGCCACCGCTGACCCCACTGTCTCTGCCACCACCATACCTCCTGAAAACAACCAGGAAAACCACATAAAAGAAGACCAAGATAACTCAGACGAGCTCTCTGAAGACGAAATCTCCGATGATGACAACGACGAAGAAGAACCCCAGCCACCACAGCCCCAAGAAGAAGAAGAACGAGAATCACTAAAACCCACTACAGCTTCCGACGAAGACGAGGATCCTCCAACGAAGAAACAAAAGTCTCTCTCTTCCTTAAATTTTCAATCTCCTGAAACAATGCCGCCGGAACAAGTGGCGCCGGAAGCAACGCCAGAAGCTCAGCCAACGGCAGCTGCAACAACGGCAGCGGTGAAGAAGCCAAAGAAGAAAAACAACAACGTTTGGACGAAATCAACATCTCGAAAGTGGAAAAAGAAGAGCAAATCCAATGCCAATGTTACTGCCGAAGACACTGTTCTAATAGCACCGATTCCCCGGTTCCCCGACAAGACCGATGACACTCCTGAGATGAAAATTTGTCTTTCCAAGGTCTACAAGGCAGAGAAAGTTGAGCTGAGCGACGATAGGTTGTCAGCAGGGAGTTCAAAAGGATACCGGATGGTTAGGACAACTAGAGGGGTTGTGGAGGGAGCTTGGTATTTCGAAATTAAGGTGGCAAAGCTTGGTGAAACAGGGCACACCAGGCTTGGATGGTCGACAGAGAAGGGGGATTTGCAGGCACCTGTGGGTTATGATGGGAATGGTTTTGGTTATAGGGATATTGATGGAAGTAAGATACATAAGGCCTTGAGGAACAAGTATGGAGAAGAAGGGTATTCTGAAGGTGATGTTATTGGATGCTACATTAATCTGCCAGAGGGTAGTCTTTATGCACCAAAACCTCCACAATTGGTTTGGTATAAGGGGCAAAGGTATCAATATTCTCTTGATGGGAAGGAAGATCCCCCCAAAGTAGTACCAGGTGTGTATAAGATAATATATGCCTTCTTCTATAATGTTATTGCTCTTAGGTTTCTTTTAAACTGTTATCTACTATTTTTGTTCTATGATGTGGCCTGTTATGTACTTTAGAATATTCTATTTCAGTGATGAGCTTAGTGGATCATTTATGTTCTTCTAAGTATAGACTTAGAATTCTCTTGTTTGGAGAGAATAAATGTTTCGGTCCATTTGTATGTGAAAGTATTCTTGGACAGCAATAAATGATTGTTCTCATCAAAGTAGTACCGGGTGTGTATAAGATAATATATACCTTCTTCTATAATGTTATTGCTCTTAGGTTTCTTTTAAACTGTTATCTACTATTTTTGTTCTATGATGTGGCCTGTTATGTCCTTTAGAAAATTCTATTTCAGTGATGAGCTTAGTGGATCATTTATGTTCTTCTAAGTATAGACTTAGAATTCTCTTGTTTGGAGAGAATAAATGTTTTGGTCCATTTGTATGCGTCAAAGTATTCTTGGACATCAATAAATGATTGTTCTAGTCAATCCAGGTTTTAAATTTCAGTTTTCGGGTGGGTTTCAATCTCCTCCAATATGAAAATTTTCTTGAAATTTCACTGGCATTTCAGGATTCTAGATGACTAGATGACTGGATGAAACACAATAAGACATTCTATTGCATCAGGAAAAATTTGTCTGTATACTCTTTCTTTTGCTTCATATTTTTTCTTTTCTTTCTTCTAAATCTGGTCAGTTCCTATATTGTCTCCTTTACTGTCTCTCTTTAGACCCTGTTTGGTTCGTGGGAATAGGGGTCTGGAATCGGAATCAGAATGGGCTATTCCAATTCCTACTGTTTGGTTGGATGGAATTGGAATCCCATTCCCATTCCTGCTGGAATGGCATTCCCCCATTTGAGGGAATGGCCATTCCCTGCCCCTCCCTTGGGAATAAAATCCCATTCCTACTGATTTCATTTTCCATTCCCATTCCTGTCCGAACCAAACAGACTATCGGAATGGACCATTCCAATTCTGACTACTAACCAAACGGACCCTTAAATATTTCCCATTACATTTAGAATTCTAAAACTTTATATATGTTTCATTTTGGTGGTATACAAAACCGAAAGGTCCAAACCAAGATGTCAAAATTTCAATGAAATTTAAAACCTTGTATTGCCATTTTTCCTTTTCTTCTTTGCCCCTTCTATTTCCATATTTTGGATGACTTCATGATAGGAAAAATTGTTGCCTTTTAAACCATGTCAGAAGCATAGTTATCAAGGCATTTAGGCGACATTAGTGCGCCTAATCACCTAGGCAATAAGAATTTTATAATATACAGAACTAACATTTGGTTAGTTTCCTAATTTTATGTACCATTCAGCATGTATACTAATTTTAAAAAATAGCACTCTTTTTATTAAGAACATTAAATTTCCTCTAAAAATGTGACAAATGATCACATCTAAAAGAAAAAAATCTTACATATATTAATTTCATTATTTTCGAAAATAATACTACTATAATAAGTACTTAATGGAGCAATTTCATATCAACTAGCAACTAAAGAAGGTTATTAACTTTATATGATGAATATTCAAGATGTAAACTAAAACAGAAAAATAGGGACGAAATTTCTGTTTTTTTTTTTAATTATAGAGAGAGAGAGAGAGAGAGGGAGAGAGAAAGAGAGTAGGAAAAAAGAACCTCTTTATATTTCTATTCTTTCTTTTCGTAACGGAAAAACTTGCTTCACCAAGGCTGTGTAAGTTGACTGACCACTAGCTGGTGAAGTGAAAGGATACTATGAAGAGGCTATTTAGGACAGTTTCTAGTTCAGAAGAAAACCCTGAAGAATGTAGTACTAGTTCTTCCTTCACAAAGTCTTTATCAATAAAAAATAGGGAAGAAATAAACTATAGTAATATAGAAAAATCCTAACAAAACTGGACTATCCCCAAGATTGCACCCTCGGAAATCTATAAGAGAGGAATGTTTAGTCTAAAAACAAATCTTAATGTTAGAATTGTTGAAAGGACTATTGCGTTAGGAAACGAATCATAAAGCTTTCCTCTTATAGATAGAAGAGTAATAGAAACCTATAAAAAGAAAGTTGATTGTCATTTTATACACTTTGGCTTAATACAGATAGCTATAAAACCATTAACCAGATTAGGACTTCAAATGGCTGCTCCAGCTTGTTTAACAGATTCTAGACATAATAAATTTAGTRATTCCTTATTAGGAGTCATAGAAGGAAGCCTTCATCAAGGACCCATCTATTTTAATACCCTCCCTAATTTTTCGGTGTCACTAACGAACCCAGGGATATATGAAGCCTTAACCCTTAGGCTGTAGACCCAAGGTTTCGATATGAAACCAGGGTCARAAAACGTAGCATTAGGCTATAGGGTGTACTTTAAGACTATGAATACTATTTGTCCTAATACAAGGATAACCGAAACAAGAAAAATGACTACCTTGTTCCAGACCAACRCTAGGAATAATGTTACCATTCCTAGGMAAATCACYTGGAAAGATGTGAAGTTGCCAGATAGTTGGTCAATAGCTAAAGCTGAACCTCCCAGACCCATGGAGTTCATTGAATTAGCTTCAATATTCAGTAAACAAGATGGATTTGTAGAGCTAAAGTTTAGAAGAGCCTCAATTTCTTCGAGGCCCTCGTATTCTGAACCTATGGAGGTGAGATCTTCTTATTTGAGAAGGTCTATTGATCTGTCAGAACCAGCACGTCCTCCTCTCAGCATCATTTATGCCACGTATGAAACACCAACAATAGACACCCCACCTTCGGATTATCATACAACTTCAAAAGGGAATCAGTCAGTGAAATCTTATGAGCCTACAGAGGCAGATTTCGAAATTAATATCTTGGAACTAGAAGAAGAATTCCAGATGGACAAAGACTTTATTAGGTTAGATTTTAACTCAACCAATAAAGAAAAGATGGTTCTTTAAAATTTCTCTAAAAATGAGAGAGATCGCAACAGAGAACTATGGTACGATGACATGATATAATCAAAAGAAAATATTCCGTTTTGGGATTGGTTCTCAAAACAAAAGCAATTTAAAAATATAAAACCCCCTATAGAAGAATTGGAAACAGTTATTCCAGGACATTGTTCTCAAATTATAGAGCAAAATAATTATACAAATATATGTCTTAACGTGTTAGTCAAACAAACTAATAGAATAGAAACCCTCTTAAGTTCCTTAGAGGTTTCTAAACCTAGAACAATAAGCAAAAGGGAAAAGCCCATGGCAGTAATGTCAAGTTTCCCAGAAGACATGAAAATACAAAAAACTCCTCTAGATTTATGAAAGGTAAGTTATAAGGAGCTACCTAGGAGACTAATTTCCTCCTCAAAATGGGAGAAAGGAGAAACATCTAATCCTTCTAAAAGTGAGAAGGCAGAAGAGGCCTCAGGTTCAAAATCCAGAGGAAAGCTCTAATACCAAAAGTGAACTGTAAAAGTGAACAAAAAAGAAATCCTTGAACAGAATGCGCTAGGGGTTTTTGTCCTAGGGGTTTTAGTGCTTATGGAAGATTAACCATGTGCTTTTTCCTTCTTCATATGGAAGATTAACCATGTGCCTTTTCCTGTGCCAGAATGCGCTAGGGGTTTCAACGCATATCTCCTTTTCTATTTTTGTCTGGAAATTTTCCAGCTGGGTCTTTCGCTCATTTGGCAACTTAATGAGTTGCTTTTCTTTTATCTCTGTTTGCAGTTCGGAGATAAATTTGACTTTACCCTTTAGACTTTCTTTTAGGGTGTTTCTTGTGGATAATTTTGGTTTTTGACAAAATTTATAAGTGACTTATATTTCACCTATAGTGATGGTAATCCCCGTCAAGTCTATTTGATAGGGTAAGATTGATAGTAGGAAGGGTGTACCCAAGATTACTTCTTGCTTTCAATCCTTTACCATAAGGAAAGTAGATTTTAAGCAAGTTCCTTGGTTGCAAATGTGGGCAACGGGGATTTTGTATTTTATCCCTAATTTCCTTCCGTTAGTAGCGTTTATCTGCTGAGAGGTTTTCTCAAAGTATTTAGAAGGTACAATTCCTTCTCTGATACAATTTATATCAACTCCTTAGTCAATTAAGCGATAACTGAGAAATTGAAATCTTTTATTCTAATGGTGATTTTTGAATACCATTTTTGGTACTTGACTTAATAGAGTATATGAACTCTTCCTCATCTTCAATAAATTTGGCGGGTTCTAATTCTGAGGATTATTCAGATTGTCCCGTCTAGAATTTTTTAGCTTCAAACTGGTTAACCCTGGCTTTTAGGGTTTTGATTTCTTTTTTGAGCTCATTAACCTCTTGTCTAAGGTCATTCAGAGAAGGGGGCTTAGAGGTTCCTGCTTGAGCTCTTCTCATAACCTTACCATATGAGATTGTATTTTTCACTTTGAATGGCCTTTTAGATTTTTCTTTATTTTCTTTTTCTTTGTTTTGGAGGGCCATAAGCAGATGCTTTTTCTTTGATTCCTTCTAAGGAATTTCATTCAGAATCTCTAAGAGGTGTTCTTCATCCAGGGTTAATACATTGATTTCCCCTGATTCTTCTTCATCTGTACTTGTCTCATTTTTACAAGTACATATTCCATTGGCACAACATTCTCCTGAAGAGGTTGAAGATTCTCTTTCAGATATATTTTCTTCTTTAGATTCTCCTAATTCATTAATATTTTTTGTATTTTTAAAACACTTATTAGCGTAATGTCCTTTTTTACCACACTTGAAACAAGTGGGGCTTTTGATTTCTTTTCTTTTAGAGAAATTTGGTTTCTTGTTTTTCTTCTCTTCTTTCCTTTTATAAAATTTTGATTTTTTCTTTTTGTATACCAGTTTAGAACGGGATGGCTCAGGGGCCATTCCAAACTGGTAACAAAAATCTCCTAACTCTCTTTTAGAGTTAGTTCTCTCTTTCTTAATTTGCCTTTTTAGGCGTAAATCATTACATAAATCTAGTCTAACTTGG